ACTAGAATAGGACCATGAGGAGGGAGAATATTTCCCTGGGTGGGGAGATAGAATGCAGTGATATAGAAGGATAAACGGAAATAGTGGAAAAGGAAGGGTTAAATGGGGTGGCAAATGGGAGGACAGGGTAGAGGAAAGAGTGGAGGGAGGGTAACTGAGAGCTACAACTTGTCAGGGATTTTTGCCAAAGATGGGGTGCAAAGATTGTAAGATCTAGACATGGTGGGTGACTACAAGGAGACAGTATATTCTGGATACCTGCATATGTGAACTCAGCATTTGTGACAGCATACATCAGACCTGTGGAAGCTCAAGCCAGACAACAATACCAACATGGAGAAGACAGGTGGGGGAGAAGTCTCATCCCAGCTGAGGAGCTATCAGCAATCAATAGGTTCTGGGAGAGGGACGATCATTGTCTTTAAGGGTATAAACCCTGGTAAGACCAAGCTCCAAGGTTGAACCCACGCCTACGAGTATTTAGGCAGCATCAACTGGCTATAAAAATAAAAGAGGAGACAAAGTTGGGTATGAAGAGTGATAGGGTAGATCTGGTAGGAGTTGAGAGATGGGTGGATACGATCAAAACACACAGCATGAAATTTTCAAAGAACTATTAAGATATTACTTTAAAAGAATCATAGCGTGACTCAAGAAACTGCAGGTGAATGAAGTTAATATGAATCACGTGGAAAGTTAAATTTCCTCACGTGGACAAAAGTGATGTGGACAGAAATATCAGTCTCCTAGCTTAAGGAGGTGCATAATGAAAAGATAGTTCAGGACTGACCCTTCTGAGCTTTGTCTTATACCAGTGTAGCAAGGTTAAATATTTGGAAGAAATGTGGGGAAAGGACAGTAGGCCTTTTAATGATCTATTTATTAACCAGGTGTTCTTTGTTTCTTGGTTTTCTTAGCGAATTCAATCAAATAGAACTTTCAGGCAATTGAATGAAGATCTGGAATAATGATCACTGATCTTGTATATACATATAACGATTACATAAATCCAGCTATTCCAATCCTGACTATTATCTGGAAGCTACCCATCTCTGTCTAGTGAGACCTAACAAATCAAGCAAGGATTTGAACAGGGAAATAAAATCTCACGCTTTCTCAGAAAGTGATGTAAGAAGGAGCCAAACTGAAGCCATTTTGTATAAAATAAATTTTGAATAGGGGTCAAATAAAGTTTAAGTTCCCAAGACCTCCCTGGGTAACTGACATCCTGCTTGACAGAAGAGATATGTACATGGGTGACTGACATCGTGGTTGACAAGTTGAGACATGAATGCTAGGCAAGTTGCCATGGTTAAGTAATCCAGCTAATGGGAACCGTATAAAATGTACCACAAAGACATGTTCCTAAGGCAGTCCCCTATCCCTAAATCCTTATTGGTGGGATAACTTGGCACAGATGTTTGTGGTTTTGGAGCTTAAAAACGTTGTAACATTCTGGCCAAACACCAACCGGAAGTAAGCTTATATCTGTTTTCTGGTTTCTGGTTGGAACCTGTCTGGGACCCAAGAAAGGAAAAATTGGACATAGGGTCAGAAATGGACCTGAGACGTCCTGCCCCACACTGGTTCCCATTGGGGTAGCACTTGGTTCTGGTTCTGGGCACGCCGGATTGTCCATGTCAGTCAGTTTGTGTCTGTAGTTTCGTTTAGCTTGACTGTTGCTCTGTTTCATATTTGGAAAAAAAAAGGGCTACACTTCATCTGCTGACCATTCACCCCTTGACTTAGTATTAACCCATTTCAAGAATTTTCAAAAAAAGAAGCTAAATCGAGACAACAAAAACTGATTAAACTGATAATGAATGCTCTTGGAGCCCTGCACCCACAGCTAGGAGCTGAGCGCCACAGGGATAGCCCCACCTTCTTCCCCTGGATCAAGCTGACAGCGAAGTTGGGGGTGGTGTGTGGGGGTGTTGGCATCTGTACAAGCTGCTCTTAAAGCCGAACTAGCAGCTCGCCAGCTCTCTCCTGTCAGGAAGCCGGTGCCTGCTCCCGCTACACAACCTCTGTGCCTATGAGAATTGGATTCAGCAGGTAACAAGGCGCTCCTTTCTTGAAATTATAGCTGCAGAAAGTAAGAAAAGCTTTATCTGTTTCAAATGTATAATGTATGTGGCCACTATGTGTTTGTTTCTGCCTGCTCTTAAATGTTGGAGATTACTATGTTCTTTATATTGATTATAGCTATTGGGTATGGTTAAAAATCTGTAACATTTGTAACAAAAGTTAACTGAAAATCCTTAACTCAGGGTTGGAATCATTCTGGGCAGCAACACATGGCAAGAGGCAACCAAGGGAACAGGTATCCAAAGATATTTTTAAATTGGGATAAGATTTTAATATAATTTCTACGCTGTCTTTGTTTTTTTTTTTTAAAATAAATAAGAGGCATTAAAAGTTGCACCTCCATGTGTTCATATACAAGAACTTTTCTTCTGGGCAGCTAATCTTTGTAACATAAAAGGAAGCCACCTGGTATTGATTTTGGAAACAATAAATAGTTTATATTGTTAAAAGTTGGTTTTCCCTTGCAAAAATTACGGTTATGTTCTCTGTCTTCACTCTTAATAAAGGTGCTTTATTTTGATATTCCAAATAAATTGAGGAATTTTAAGATTCTTAAAGAAAGCTTTACAGAAAAATTAAAAAAACCTGACATTTAAAAAATAACTTTAAAAAATGTTTTAATTTATAAAGCTATGGAACATTTTGAAGTTTTCCAGATATTTTATTGTAATGTCACTATTAATATATGATCTTGATGACTAGATAAATACAAGACTAAAAATTAGGACCACAGCTAAACACCAGAGAATGTCTGTGGGTTGGGGGATAGTGAGACTAGAACGGAAGTTTCCTATTGAAAATGAATACTCACTGTCACAGACGATCCAGGACTCCTGGGAGGGGCTGGCCTGTCTCTGTTTCCAAGGTGATGAGGGGCACTGCCACAAAGTGTCAACTCCTTTTGGACACTGCACACTATCTACCCACATGGGCCTGGATGGTGTCTTGTCTGAAGATGTAGGTTTCACCATCCCGTTGTCTGCACAACCCAGCTGGCGGCACACCACTCCCACAGTGGTTGGAGACATATTGGCGCTGCCAATACTGCCCCATGTACCATTGTAAAACACTTCCAGGCGACCTGCACAGGTCTTTTCGTGGGCTTCATTGGTCAGCCTCAGAGACATGAAGTCTGGGGGAAAAGAACAACAACTTCTCTGAAAAAAATATTTCTTTTTCTCTAACTTAGAAATGGCTGTAATGGCTAGGCGGTGGTGGCACACGCCTTTAATCCCAGAACTTGGGAGGCAGAGGCAGGCAGATTTCTGAGTTAGAGGCCAGCCTGGTCTACAGAGTGAGTTCCAGGACAGCCAGGGCTACACAGAGAAACCCTGTCTTGAAAAAACCAAAAAAAAAAAAAAAAGTTTAGAAATGGCTGTAATGGATTCAATGTGCCAACTCCTAATAACTCATTAGTAACTTCTGAACAGACCAAAAGATCTTAGTAAAATGTAGTATCAGTTTTTACATACCACCTGGCTCTCTAATCTGGAGTTTTGTACACAGCGATCTCTTTTGAAGACTGTCAGTACTTGAAGACACTTATGAGATTCAATCAAAGCCTCTGAACTCCTTTCAGTGATGTAATTCTCCCTAAATTAATTTTAACTCAAGGAGTCTTATTCCATTCTCGCTTGGTTTTAATTAACATGTAAACTATGTATTTCAGGACTATGGCAGTGAAGAATCAGTGCCTGTACATTCATTCTATGATCAAGTGAGGTCTTAGGTGGATGAATCCTCTCGGACGCTCAGTGTGGATGTGGGTTTTGGGTCAATGTCTTTGATACTTAACATTTAGCGAGACACAGGTGCTAAAACCAATGTTTTGTGAGCATTAAGATGAAACATTTCCTCTTTTGACACACCGCTTCGCCACAGATGCCCTCTAGCAGATTTAGGTCATTAAATAGGGATTGGTTGCTTCCAGTATAGAATCGCTCCACTTCACTCGTCCAGTGAGTCCCACTCCTGCTTTCCCTAACACACTGCAACTAGGGGCGTTTTTCTGGTTCACGAAGATCTCTGAAGCTTGTTTTGTGTACAAAGCAAAGGCAACGAATGACCTCTTTACGGTAAATTTTGCTCCATTGGCAAATAGAATGCATTTATCTGCTTTTAAGATTTATTTTAATATGGTAATTATCTCCTTTGTAAATATTATATAGAATTTATTTACATTTGTTCTTCTTAATCTACCATATCTATATTGTAACTATCAAGTGTGCCATTGAATCCAACATATAGTTGTACATATATTTATAAAAAGCAGTTCAGTGTTAACAATGTTATGATATCCAGGCCTGTTTCTGTATTTTCTCTTTACAGTATACTAGCCAACACATGAGATTGTACCAACACACTGAATAAATGCTTTGGGGCTCCCAGCTCTGGAAATGATTGAGCAGAGTGTCGGGGGAATATTTCAGGTTGATATTCACTACCCTTTGTTCCTTAGTCATTTTAAACGCAGTTGTGACCAGGAGTTATGTGCAGAACTTACCCGAGCAGATAACGCCGGCATCTTCCTTGTGCCTGCAGTTGTGGCGTCCCCAGCCATGGGAATGACACTTCCAGATATGAGACTCTTTCCCAATGCAGTTGAGTTCGTCCAGCCAGATAGCTCCTGCTCCTTCCCCGAAGTAAGCAGAACCAGTGGCGTTGATAGCCACGCCGCAGTCCAGCTGCTTGCACACGACACTGGCATCAGTCAGATCCCAGCTGTCATCACAGACGGTGCCCCAAGAGCCCTCGTGGTAGACCTCTACTCTCCCAGCGCAGCGACCATGTCCACCTACTAAGCGAAGCTGGCCACTTGCTGGAAAGAGAAATGAAGATAAGGATAAAGTGCATTTTGGAAAGGTTTGAGGTCATTCTCACAGATCCATCCTGGGTTCTCACCTATGCAGGGGACGTCACTGTCCTTTGGAATGGTAGAGCTTGTTGTTTGGACCGAAGATGATGAGCTACATGGCAACAGTGTCTGGGATTGGTTTCCTGAAAACACCCAAAGTTTCAGGAATGTTAGATACAAAGGGTGAAGAGCAAGGACCGGATGGAGAGTTCCGTAGGTGAGTTGAGGACAAGCATAGCTTGAGAAAGAGGAAGGAGGAAGATGGAGGGGTGAGGTGGATGGGCCCCCAGAAGTCGGCTACAGTAAGCCAGTAGTTCTCAACCTGTGGGTCGCGACCCCCAGAGAGAGGACCAGCACTTCCACAGGAGATGGAATATCAGATATCCTGCACATCATATCTTTACATTATGATTCAGAACCAGCAAAATCACAGTTATAAAGTAGTAAAGAGAATAATTTAATGGTTGGAGGGGGTCACCACACATGAGGAACTGTACTAATGGGACACAGCATTAGGAAGGTTGAGAACCACTGCAGTAAGCACTGGACAGCAATAAGGTTGATGAAAATGAAGGACATGTGCTTTCTAATAAGACAAAGTTACTATTCTAGCACAGGTCTCATGAACTTCCCAGACATACTTTCTTTTTCTTTTGCTTCATCCCTGACTCAGGCTCATCTGATTCTAAAGCACACCGCTGTGGAGAGGCTCATCACTGGCTCTGCCCTTCATCCTCTTACCTGAGCATTTTACAGAGGCCACCTGTCCTTCGGCACAGGTCGGCGCACCTAGAGCAGTCATGAAGCAATCCCCGATGTGCTCCTCAGTTCCTGTGCAGTGGAACATGTGTCTCCAGACCTGACCAGCCCCTTTCCCAAAATGCGCTCCTCCTGGAGTAGAAAGGGCGACTCCACATTTAAGCTGCTGACATAAGACATGAGCATCTTCCATGTCCCAGTGAGAGCTGCACAGGGGACCCCAGGCTCCGAGTGTCTTGAGCTCCACTCTTCCCTCACAGGAGGACTTGCCATCTGCCAGACGGATATCTATGTATCCTGAAAGGAGACCGGGATTTAGAAAAGATATCCATGACTCCCTAACCCTCTCTCTTTCACAGCCTAGGGGCAAATTGAAGATATTCTTTGTCTTACGTGAGCAGACGATGCTGACATCCCTGCTGTGGTTACAAGTTCTGTCTAACGGGGGCGCCACTGAGCACAGTGAAAGATGGGACTCATGCCCACTACACTGGAATTCTTCACCCCAGATCTGTCCACTTCCTTCTCCAAAATGTGCTCCCCCTAGGATAGAGACGACTGTCCCACACTGTAATTCCCTGCACACCACACTGGCTGCTTCCAGAGACAAGTCAAAATCACAGACGGAGCCCCACACGTCTCCGTGTTTCACTTCCAAACGACCGGAGCATGGAATATCTCCTCCAACCAGTCTGGGTTCCCTGTGGCCTGAAAAACAATAGTATTTGGGTGAGAGGTACAGTTTCCACATTTCTGCTCATCATGGGACTAGGAGCCAGGGTTCTCTGTAGTTTCACACTGCACCTCCTGGGTTTTGTCTAGACTGAGCAATAGCAAATTGTGGCTCTTGACTTTTTCACCGGGCCCGTCCTTCTAAGAGCCAAAATCTCGAGGCTTTTGAAGAAAAGTAAGATCAGAACTTCTCTTTTCTTCTAGCATTTCACTTGCATTTATTCATAAAGCACAGTTTGTTCCCAGTTTGGGCTCTGTCAGCCGGCCCAGCCCTTGCTGCAGTCAGAAGTCGACAGCAGCTTTATCAACATCTACATGTAGGTTTTCAACATATCTTTGTTTGGAGCATTGAATGAACACCAGACTTTAAAAAGTGGAACACTTGATATCTGTGACTTTCCTGTCCTCTTCCCATTCCTTTCTGACAGGCCTTTATCACAGTGGTCCATAGACAAACAGGCCTGTGCATGCAGGCTCTTTCCGCCTTGCCAGCCCCACACTGTATTCTGTGCTCCATTCGATCTGTCAGCAGGAAGGGCAGAGCTACATCGGGCTCCTAGATCTTGTGTCTCCAGGACCAAGAGAGAAAACAAACCTATAGCCACTTAGTGTAGCTGGGCTTTAAAATGTAAACAAAAGAGATGCCAAGTAGTAAGATATGGAACTCAGATTGGGATGTGCTCCTCGTTAGGCTGGGGTGTGCTCCTGGTCAGGCTGGGGCATACTCCTCGTCATACCATGAAGTTTAACCATCAAGACAAGCAGGGCTTCCTTTAATACCAGAAACCACTGAGTGTCTTGAAAACACGAACTACTTCAAATTCACTTCCTTTAAAAACCAGAAGTTCATCTGAGGTTGGACCTTCTAAAGAGCAAACATCCTTCACAGATGCCTGTGCAAACCTTTGATGCCGTCCTCACTGTGGTACAGATGGACAGACAGCCCTTCAGCCCCTGCGGTGCTTGTACTCTCTGTGTACACTTCAGATCACGTGTCTTTTACCTTACACTAAAATATCTCTGAAAAAGTTCCAGATATGACTACTTTCTGCATTATAAATAGAATGTCTCATCCTGATGGCATTTTACGAATAAAGTGAATTCTTATCCAAGTATGAGATGAGGAACCCATGATTTCTAAATGCAGACCAAGTTGAAAGCAAACAATACTATATACAAATAACTGATGATTATTGAACTGGAAAGTTCTTAATTTGAATTGGGTGAGCATAAAATCCCCCTAAGATGTCACTGGCTAGTATGCATACAGTTCTCTTCTTTCCCCCACCCCATTAATTTATTTATTCACTTTATATCCCAAATGCAGCCCCTCTTTCCTCCTAGCCCCCATAATCCCTCCCCACCCCTCTTCCCCTTCTCCTTTGAGAAGATAGAGCAACCCCCTGGTACCAACCCTGGCACATCAAGTCACTGCAGGACTAGGCACATCCTCTCCCATTGAGGCCAGACAAGACAACCCAGTTAGGATAACAGGACCCACAGACAGGCCACAGAGTCAGGAACAGCCCCTGCTCCAGTTGTTTGGGGACCCATATGAAGACCAAACTGTATATCTGCTACATATGTGTGTGGGGGTTCTAGGTCCAGCCCATGTATGCTCTTTGGTTAGTGGTTCAGTCTCTGGGAGCCCCTAAGGGACCAGTTTAGTAGACTTCACTGGTCTTCTTGTAGAGTCCCTATTCCCTCTGTGTCCCTCAGTTCTTCCCCCAACTCTTCCATAAGACTTCCTGATCTCTGTCCAGTATTTGGCTGTGGGTCTCTGCATCTGTTTCCATCAGCTGCTGGATGGAGCCTCTCAGAGGACAGTTATGCTAGGCTCCTGTCTGCAAGCATAACATAGTGTCATTAATAGTGTGAGGGATTGGTTCTTGCCCATGGGATGGGTCTCACTTTGGGGCAGTGGTTGGTTGGCCATTCCCTCAGTCTCTGCTCTATCTTTGTCCCTGCACTTCTTATAGGCAGGACACATTTTAGGTCAAAAGTTTTGTGAGTGTGTTGGTATCAGACTTAATCTTTAAGTCAAGGCAATTTCTGAGATCAGGTCAAACTAAATTTTTAGGTTTCTGGAGTATTCACATGTAGCCTTTCAAATGAAATAAATTAGAATCAGAGAAAAGCAAAACCAAACCAAATGAGCTTCCTTTCTCTGTGAAAATGTGTAATGTGCTTGAAAGCAAATTCTTTCTGTACACATTCTTTCTGTTCCCCAATCCTAAAACATTTGAATCTAAGTCCAAAATCTTCCATCCAAACAGGGTACTTTGGGACGCCATCTTTTCAGCTTTGATTTTGCGAATCTGTTAACATGCACCCACCAACACCTTTAGATCACAGTATATATATGGTCAGAATGCTGGAGTCTTAGCTTTTTAAAGGTTCTTTCTTCCCAACAAACATATGACTTCATTGATTTTTATATAAGAGCCAATAAATAGAATTTTGTGCATAGATTCTTTTGAATAACAAGTTTTAACCTGTCAATGACACTAAATCAACATTTATTCTTTCTCTAAAGAACCTGAATGAAGAGTAGCTAGGACTTCCTCTTTTTGTTCAGTAACAAAGTATATGATATACACAAAGATGAATACATTGTCATCATTTGAAACATCTCGAGTGTCTTGTTTCTTAGCTGAGTTGATCATAAAATGCAGCCAAAGCAGAAGATAAAATTGGTACTGCACAACAGAAGTAGCAAGCACCCTAGCAAAGTAACCTTCTGGTCCTTGCTTTCATTTAGCCATAGGTTTCAAATGTCCTTACATCTGAGATTAACAATGGCAGGGAGAGGTTGACATCAGTACCTACCAGTGTTTGTCAGTGGGCCCTTTGACCTCATTACTGGATAGCATTCTTTTGCCAACTTTGAGAATAACTGTGATCAGACACAAGTACTGAGCTTACAAGTGTGCACTGTGACACCCAGAATTTGATGTGTGCTGTCAGTCTGAACTCAGGTTTTTATGAGTGTGTGGTAAGAGCTTTACCTACTGAGCCATCTCTCCATACCCCGATAGACTGTTAGTTGAAGAATAATTATTTATGTCCGTCAATATGTCACATATGCATAATACAGATGCATAATGATATGTGTCAAGTACATTACTATTCTCAGGGAAATAGCGCAATCAGATTTATTTTAAAAATAAACCCTAGGGGCTGGAGAGGTGACTCCATGGTTAAGAGCACTGGCTATACTTCCAGAGGTCCTGAGTTCAATTCTTAGCAACCTCATGGTGGCTCCCAACCACTTATAATGAGATCTAGTGTCCTCTTATGGTATGCAGGCACACATATAGGTAGAATATTGTATATATACTAAATAAATAACTCTTTAAACAATTCAAAGGAAGAGGCTAAAAAAATCCCAATTCTATCATTAGTACAAGCAATGCACCTGCATATTCTGACTCATAAGGTTGAAACAGGAGCATAAGAAGTGAACCATGACCACAGTGTCTATAGTACCCTTGGAATTAAGTTGCTTCTTAACAAGTGGATTGAAAGTATCACCTGAGCAGGTAACTTGGGCTTCTTCGAAATGATCACAGGAAAGGCCGCCCCACTGCCAGTTTTTGCATTGCCAAAGAGAAGTTTCATTTCCACTACAAGAGCCAGGAAATAGCCTCGTATTTGTCTCCCTGGTTTTAGAGTAGATCTTAGCCTGGGTCTGAAGTGCAGATCCACATCCAAGCTGTCTGCAAACCACATCAGCATCTGCCAGTGTCCAGCCTCGGTTACACACCTTCCCAGTCAGCTTCTGAATCTCCACCTCCACAATCCCAGCACAGCGACTGCCTCCACCTACAAGTCTTAGTTCCAGATCTGCTCCATCTGCAGAGGAAACATAAACAGAGGGAACCTGGGCAGGGTAGCTCCCGAAAGACTTTCTACTCCCCTCCTTTGCAGACACTGGGAACTATGATCTACCCAGCGCCTATTGTTTGCTTGTTTCTTGATAATACTGTGGCTCAAACCTAGTCCCTTTTATAAGCTAGAGGATTGTATTCCCGATACCTCTTTATAATTTTGTTTTAAGTCTTACTGAGATGGATCTCACTAAGTGGCCCAGAATGTATTTACCTTTGCCACCCTCTGCTCTAGTTTCTCTCCTAAGTAGCTTGGATTACAGGCCTATACCGCCATATCTAATTTTGGCTTACCTATTTACTGAGGCCTTAATAAACAAATGTTGACTGTGAATTCCATATAGAAATGGTACATAGTTCTTAAGGACTAAAAATATTAATTATACACACACACACACACACACACACACACACACACACACTTCATTCCTGAAATACTAACTCTCTGAGTTCCATATAGATTTAGAATTTAAGATGTGTTTCCAAACAGTACTCCTAATAATACAAAAAAAGGGGCCAAGTGGCCCTCCTCTGAAGAGCATGTCAAATTCTTCCCAGCTATGAAGGAATTCCCAACAACGAATTAATGATTTTCACTTGTCACACTAGTCATACCTCTTTGTCTTGCTTTTTGTTCTAACTTACCAGAACATGTCACACCAGCATCTTCTTTGTGATTACAGTAATGCTTTCCCCATTCTTGGTGTTTACACTCCCAAAGAGTTGGCTCATGTCCTTCACAGGCAATATTGTCAAGCCAGATCGGTCCAGATCCCTCACTGGCATTAACTCGACCAATGGCAGTGATGGCAGTCGGACATCCCAGTTGCTTACACACCACGGAAGCGTCACGGCGATCCCAGCTATCATCACACACGGTCCCCCATTCTCCTTGGAATCTCACTTCCAATCTTCCTGAACATCTGGATACTCCATCCACCAATCGCAGGCTCAGATCTGCTCCCTCTATAACAACAACAAACAACAAATTGGCAGAAGGGAAATGAAAATGAGGTGTTTAAAAACCAGTCCTAGTGGAGTTAAAGAAGGGGAGGCAGGATGGTTTGAGGCAGCTGTTCTACAGCTCCATTGCAAGTCACTAAAGATAGGTGTGTAGCAGCAAGGATGTTTTAATACGCAGTTCTTACTTTGGGAAGTGTCTCAGAGATTTGTCCAGAGTCAGTTTTGTTTGGTCACCACTGTAGGTGCTAGAACTGCTTACTCTAATTTGCTAAAGTACATTTCCCCGTGTTTAGGTTTTTCACCTCTTACTCCAGTTTGGGTAAATATCCACCATTTGCTTCCGTTGTTAATGTCATGATCTGGCTACATTACCCAGCTTGTGCTGTGTACCTGGCCCTTCAGTGAGTATCTGTAGTGATTTGAGTGAGAATGTTCCCTCATGGGCTCAGGTGTTTGAACACTTGGTCCCCAGTTGGTGACACTGTTTGGGGATGTTTAGGAGGTGTGGCCTTTCTGGAGGAAGTATGCCCCTGGGGGAAGGCTTTAAAAGCATTGTACTATTCGTAGTCATTGCTCTGCTCCACTCTTGTGTTTTAAGGTGTGGGTGTTCACCTTGATGCTCCACTCACCAGGTCTGCCTGTTGTCATGCTTCCTCACTGTGATGGTGATGGACACCTACCTATCCCTCTAGACCCTGGAGCCCAAATAAAAGATTCCCTCTTTAAGTTGTCATGATCATGGCATATTACCACAGCAATAGAAAAATAACCACCAGAATACTCTAAGTTTAAAGGCAGAGCAGAGGGAGAAGGAACTGCCTAACCCACTCATCTCACCGTCTGTATTCCACATCCGCTACAATACCTTCCTTGGTTCTGAAGAGTATCCTGTGACAAACACAAGCCTACAGCCTGGGACTCTGTGTGGAATATTAAAGTCAGCGAAGCAGTACCTGCTCATGGATAGCCTGAGCCTTTGTGGGGTGCTAATGTATTGGCACTTTTGCTTTTATTATTTAAGTCCATGGGTTTGAGCTGATGCTTTGAGAAGGAGTAGGTCATTGTGGCTAAAGTGGAGGGTGACAGAGGGTGATGAGGACAGTGGTTTGCTTTTAAGCAATCTCAGAAAGGCAAATAGCAGATGTTGTTTCAATGGTGGTTCAGAGACTTTTACATAGACATAGACAATTATGTTTCTGATATTTCTATATTTGTACCTCTATCTATCTATCTATCTATCTATCTATCTATCTATCTATCTATCT